ATTGATGAAAAAAGGCCAATTGTTGAATTTCCCAAGTATCCCATTCAAAACAGGCCAAAATTTCCGGGTACAAGTTCCACCGCGGTTATACCGCGACCGCGGTGAAACCGCGGTGGAAGACAGTTTCTGAAAGTTGAAGATTCCGCGAGGGCGTTTGGCCGCGGTTCTACCGCGACCGCGGTAGAACCGCGGTGGGCACAGTAAACTTCAGGGACTTAAGTGTAAAACACGGGATTTTTAGACCTAAACCCTATTTAAAACACTAGACTTCGCCCAAGAGAGGCATGTATTGATTTTTTAGGTTTCTTAGCAAGGAATACAATTGGGAGCAAGTACTCTAAACATCTTTCTTCCTTTCTTTTGATTTTTATGATGAATTCAAGTGTAGTTTATTCTCCCATATCTATGAGTAGCTAAATTCCTTGTCTAAGGCTTTGATGGAACCTATTGGGTGATGAACTTCTTGTTTATGTGAATACAAATTGCTAGTTTAATCTTTATTTGTTCAACTTCGTGTTCGTTGTAGTTAATTGACAGGATCCTCAATTAGCTGTACCTATTTAGTGTGCATAACTTGGAAAAGAGTGCATATTTAGGGTATTGTTGAACAACACCACTCCTAGATTATTAGAGGAATCTATAATTGCGGGTTTAAAGGCGGGATTAGGAATAACGAAGTCTTGGGTGCAATCTAAATTGAATTGTGATTAAATAAAGCAAGTTAGTGTATCTCGGGAGAGTGCAATAGTAGATTATTGTGATTAATCGGGAGAGATTTGCGGTAAGATTAGCGTTCATGATTGATAGAGATGTGTGGGTAAATTTGTATGAGCATAAACAGAAGGGATTCCATCAATAGGGGAAATCATTGCCTTAGCTTTTCCTCATAATTGTTTACAACCTTATTAATTTAGTTACAGCCATTTAGTTACTTGCAAGCTAGTTGTTAAAGAACACTCAACTGAGAATTTGAATGTTTGAGAAGCTGGTGCTGAATACTTGGTGGGTTTGAAGATAGCGGTTGATAGGTTAACTCTCTGTGGATTCGACCCTGGGCGTAATACTCGGGTTATATTTGCAACGTCCGCAGAGTTCTTTTCTAAAAGGCATAGTTGGGCGTGATCAATGAACGGTTGACGAATTTTAGCAAGACTTCCTTGATATTTAGTGTTAGATTTCTTATCTAATTCCAATTCATGTCTCTTGGACCTATTAATATTAACATATATATGAAAGCTTGAAAAGTATCGTTAATACCTCCTTTTTTTCAACTAACATGAAGCCATCGAAATATCCTCTCTTATAACCAAATTGTTACATAAAACAAACACTTGAAATCTTGACGTTGGGAACTGGACGTCTACACTAATATGGATTTTATATTCTGAAGTGCAATAAATTGGGACCTCAAAATATTAAAAATATTTTCGTCCTAGTAATTATGGAATTCCTATATAAACTCCTAATAAACTTTGAAAGCTTACGACAAATGCAATAAAACTTTAAATTCCTAAAGTCCTAAATTCTAGGAAAGGATGTAAAATCTTATTCAAATAAGGAAAGATCTTAAAATTAAAATTTTAGTTGATTTTAAAGTCCTAAATATTAGGCAAATAATTAAATTACGATTTTGTCTAGTGTGAAATCTATTATTAAAGGGTAAAAAAGGCGAACGACATTTCAATAAGGTAAAAATGCAATTATGTACACAATGCTAACCTACTACATGGTTGTAGTAGGTTAGCATTGTGTACATAATTGCTTTCCCTTAAATGTCCCTATTTGAGAAGAAATAAGAGGGGGTTTTCTGACTTTTCGTCATAAAATCAAATAATAATTCCTTCTCTTTCCCTGTTCCTTTTGTCCATGGCGAAACCATCCCTCCCCTCCTTTCTGTCTCTCGTTATCTCTTTAAGGGCATCTCCAACAATCACTCTATTTTTTGCACCATTTTTCGCTCTAAAATGGTGCAACACCAAATCTACTCCAATAATCACACTATTTTTTACACGAAATTTTCTCTCTTCTATATTATATTATTATCTTCTATTTACTTTTCATTTTTTATTTCCTTCAAACTAATACTATCTTTTTTCTTTTTTCCATATTCATTATATATAATTCACATTCACCACTTATATAATCATTTGTTACAAAATTTTACATAAAGGATAATGGTTATATTTCTTTTTATACAATTATAACAATAATAAAATTAACTTATAATTTTATATAAATATAATATATACAAAAATTAATATATCAAAAAATAGGATATAAAATTAAAATTATAAAAATCTTAATATAAAAGTTAATTATATACACAATATATAATTAATTAAAAGTTCAACAATAAAAAAAAATGAATAAAATATTATTAAACCAAATATAGAGTAATGAATAGTGTTGCACCAAATTTGGTGCAACATTATTCATGCTCTATAATAGAGCAACAAATGGAGTACCATTGGAGCAATTTTACTCTATTTCTTGCACCAAATTTGGATTTGGTGCAAAAAATAGAGTACCATTGGAGTTTGCCTAAGTTCAGCAAAAAATTAAAGTATTGTCATTGCTAAAGATTTCAGCCATAGTTTGTGTTTCGGCTGATTAATTTCTATGTTCGACTTTGAAGAAGATAATGCAGGGATAAAACACTAGATCCAACAATTAAACCCATTTCCTGCGGGACTACCCAATAAACCCAATTTTAAAAGGTACTTTTGTTGTAGTTCTGATCAACAGCGACAATGTTGCCCGTCGTGCAGTCATGGAAACGTATTTCAGTCACTGAGAAGGGGCAAGAAGAAGGATTGCATCTCAAAAAACGATGTCTGTTTTTAAGTTATGTCAAATTATTTATTCTTTTGAGTATGAAAATTTAAAATTCAATGGTTGAATTCAGTGGAGGAAATATAACAATTGACAATGAATTAATAGAGTTCAATTTGAGAAGAATGAAAATAAAAAACGTGAGGAGGGGGGGGGGGTGGATAGATTTTTCGTAGAAAGACAAAAAAGCCATCACATTAACACATTATTGATATGCTGTTAGGGACATTTAAGGCAAAGCAAATATGTATACATTGCTAACCTACTACAACTATGTAGTAGGTTAGCAAAACCCACCCACCCACACACACATATATATATACTAGTGTAGGTACCCGCGCGATGCGCGGTCAATTTTAAGATTTTGCTTGTTATAAAATAATTTATATGTTATAATAATTAATATACTACTTTTAAAAGACAAACCAATATAAATACTTAGTTCATTGTCTAAATTTGTTAACCAATAATGGAAATGCCTATCTTTCAGTTTATTTTACTCTAATTTATCATGTCAAAGACTTTTAAGAGTCCTCTTAATTGCGGTTTAATTTCTCAAGTCACTTTTAGAATACCTCTAAACTGTGTTCTGCCATTTGTATTCCAAACTTAACTAATGGAATCATTCATTTAGTAATGTAGTACTACAGTCGTTCCATTAGTTATGATGTAGGAAAAGTAACTGTTACAGCGATAATTGCTAGCTACCATAATTTCCAAATTACAACCGTTTCCTCCCTCAGATTTTTTGTTGAAAGGAAGAGAATTTCAACTTGCTTTTCCTACCTTTAGTTTTTACTTTCTTTTCTTTGTTCTGCATCTCCTCTCTTTATTTTCCTCCTATCTCTATTTTTCTTCCCTTCATTTCTTTGTTGGCTATTGTGGCATTATTATTGATTTTATAGGTAAGTTATGATTCCACAAAATTTTATTCTTCTTTCTTATTTTAAAGATTCTCTATGTTTTACCTGTTTTTAGTCTTTTAGTCATCCAACTGTGATTTTTTTTGTTCATTTTTATTCACCGTTATGGTCCTTAGTGATTTATCATTGTTGTTTCTAAAGTAATGGACTAATATTTATTTTGTTTTACAAAGCTTGGAGTATTTATATTTCTGGAGAGAAAAAATATCAGAAGAATTCACTAATTGATGAATATTTATTTTGTTTTAGGAATTTTGGAGCATTGAGATTTCTGAAGAAAAACAAAAGGCGAATTCATCACGACTGTTTAGAGTGTGCGGATCTATTTATTGTTTACCTTGTGTTCTTCCTTTGGAGCTTGCTTTGTTCTCCATTTTTTTTCCTTTTTTTTTTTTTTTTTTTTTGCTTTTCGGGTTCATTTACTTTTTACTTACTTAGTAATATTAATTTATTTTGTGAATTTACGGTGGTGCCTCGATTTGCGTACCTAACTTTTGAATGTTATCTTATTTTTTTAAATTTATTCTTTATAAATTGTTTGAGTGTAGTTTTTTGTTCGTTTTCTATTTACGATGTCACCTTCAGTGATTTTGCATTGCTGCTTCTAAAATAATGGCCTAATTGATGATTATTTATATTGTATTAGGCATTTTAGAGTGTTGAGATTTTTGAGAAACATATCGAAAATATTTACACGACTGTTTAGTGTGTGTGGATATACTTATCTTTTATTTTGCCTTTGGATTTTGCTTTTCTCTTTTCCTTATTTTCTTTCAGGTTTCATTTATTTTTCACTTACTTAGATGACCTTATTCACTTGTGAGTTTGCATATTAACCTTTGAAAAAAAAATGGAAATTAATTATTAGATGGACCAAATACACGATTGAATTTTATTTTCAAAGATCCAAAAAATGAAACCTGGAAAATGAATGATAAAACATAAGTAGAAAATGAAAGGAATGTTACCTACATTTTTCTTTTCTTTTTGTTCCACTTTTCTTTTGGGAGCTGGTGTAAGCGGTGATGCTAAAGTTTTGTAGTTGATGATGCAGTAATAAACTTGTGCAAGTGGTATTAGGTTTTCAGGTAGTAAAATTATTGTCTCTGACATCTATTCAACATTTTTATGTGAAGGTAATGTTCTTAATCAATTGGTGATTTGATTTGTTAAGAATTAGAAGAAGTTTCAATGTTGATATACTAGGGTAATGACGCATGAGTATCACTGCCTACTGCTAAATCTATGGCAATGAAAGAGAACAGCTGCATAAATAGCAAAGACAGATTAGTAGGATCCTCGATTGAGAGCGCAATTGCGCAGAACCACAATGCACGTTCAATAGGTATAACTTCGAATAAGCAATTTTAGCACTCACTTGCCAATAAGTCCTGACTGAAATGCCCCTATTGAGTTTTCTTCAAAAACTATTAACGGAACAATTCCCTGATTAATTTATTGTGAAATAGTGTGTTTGGCTATGTTGTATAATGCCATGAAGATCGAGCATCAGATTTAGATCAATTATGAATGCATAGATAAGTTTGAACTTATATACTGAATACTTCCTCGAAGTTATAGAAATCTGCACCCAATACTTGGTTGTATTAGCTTTCTTAGTATCCTTTTCGCTCTTTTTTATTTTTTTCCTTTTTTTATTTCCTTTCTTTCCTTGATAAAATTTTATAGCAATGTTATATCAAAAGGAAAAATCATGAAGAAGGGAGAGCATTGTACATTCTGGATATGAAAATATATTTATCACTTCGAAAAACTTTTTACTTATGTTTTCTCCATAAATTCGGTTATATATAATATGACTATTACAATTGTTAATATTCGTTAGGAATAGCATTTAAATGGAACAAAATGCAGAAAAAATTATGTTACAAGTTTTTATAATCAGAAGTATAAAAATCCAATTATGAATTAATAAATATAAAAGTCATTATATTAGTGAACTATTACTATGAACATCATTTCATGACAAGGGAGGGAAGGCAAGAGGATGTAGGTTAGCCCAAAAATCTCTAAATAAATTACTAATAAATATTAACAATGAGTAACATTTAAGTAGTTAAGGAAGGCTAGGAGATTTACATTATCTTTTTTTCCTCAATATAATGTGTTGGAACAATTTCTCTCACCAATGTGTTCAGTTATACTGCATAGATCTATGCTTGGTTCAAATTTCGAAACCTCCAAAGTAGCAATTTGGAAGAAATTTCAAAAGCTTGGCTTTCTTTGTCGACTATTCTTTGCAATCTACGTTAAATAAACTTGAAATACTAAAACCTATTTAAATAGTTTATAGACAACGAACAAGGCAATTAAAGAGGCTTCGGCGAATTTATCAAGCTGTCTACAAAGATAAATATCATATTTATCATAACAAACTTATAGAATTATTCATATGCTTATAAATTAGACTTTTATTTATTCTACTATCTTAATTAATTAAATTCCCAAAGACATTTGTACATTTACAAATTCACTAGTTTAAATTTTAATAAGAATGGATTGCTTGGTCATAGAATTCTCAGTTTGAGTAGTAAATAATATGAATTTTTACCTCCTATAGCAAAGGTTAACACCTTATTTATTTTAAATAAATAACATTTAAAATAATTATATTCTATAGATACCTTTTAAGGTTTATTTTAATTTTGGTTACCTCCTAGCCCTAAGTCACTGAATACGCTAATCAGTTACACTTTTCTTTTTCTCTTCTACTTTGATACATCCCATTATATTCTATCCAAGGTGGTCTTTCAAATCGCCGTCCGTGGTCGAAACTCGTTGATCGCTCGGCCTTCTCCAAACCCGAATCCGTTTCTGATGCTACCCTCCGTATTCGCAAAAACTATTCCTATTTCCGTACCAATTACCTTTCCCTCATCGCCGTTGTTCTCGCCTTTTCCCTAATCACAAACCCATTTTCCCTTTTTCTTCTCGCCGGTCTCCTTGCTGCTTGGCTTTTTCTCTACCTTTTCCGTCCGTCGGATCCGCCTTTGGTTTTATTCGTTCGGCAGTTTTCTGAACGTGAGACGCTTGGGGTTCTTATTGTTCTGCGGTGGTCGTGATCTTTCTAACCAGTTGTCTAACCAGTTCTTATAGATACGATTTCAGTGCATTTTCATGTATTTTATTGTATTTATTGTCTTTTTTTTTCATTATAATTCAATGTATCTCGTTATATTCCATGTATTTCATTGTATTCACGATCTTTTTTTTTCTCATTGTATTTCAATGTATCCCGTTGTATTCTATGTATTTCATTGTATTCACTGTCTCACTATATGCCATGAATGTATTCATAAATTTTTTTTAATTAATATAATTTATGGATTCAGATGTGTTATATAGTTTCTCTGAAGATTGCTATGTTTTTGGGGTATTTTTCGGTTGAGAATTTTTTTTATAACTGAAAATACAAAATTTGTGTGTTATAATTGAGTTTGTTGAGTTATATTAGGAGTCTATTATGTTAATCGATTCACTTTCCATTTTAAAAACAGTGTAATCCCCTATTTCACGTCGTGAATACAGTCGAATACAGTCGAATACAATAATCTGTCCAGCTGTAATCCCATGTTTCACTTCATGAATACTGTCGAATACACTCGAATACAACAACTGATTAGCTGGACTTCCCTGATTCACGCCTATTTTTGCTACTGTATTCATGAATACAATAGCTTAAATACATCAAATACATCTTATAACCACATAAAAGGTATCTATAATCCGTAATATAGCAAATGGTATCTATAGATGACTAATTACTACTAAAAGATAATGCTTTATGAAAATTTCTCAAAATAATACACGTTAAGATGAAACCTATTTCTTTTTGGACATATACTTCTCAAACCCAAGAAGCCTAAAGAACGTTAACTCCTCTTTTCCCTATATGATTGATTACTGTTAGGAAAAACAAAGTAGAAACGTAAACTCTTCTTTTCCCTATATGATATCTATTAAAAACATAGCAGAAATTAGAGCTTTTAATTTCAGGTTAGAGTTTTATTAGCAAAAGACCCTAAATTAAAGTCAAAGAGATTGCTGATTACGTGGCAACTTGTCAGTCTCATAAATAATTAATTTAGCTTAATTGCCAGTCCTAGAAAGCATATAAAAAGAGAAATTAAAGACAAAATACTTGAAACAAAAAGAGTTAGAACTTCCTATATCCCCGCTGCCCCATCCTCTTCACTGCTATCTATACAAAAAAAAAGATTAACGTGATTCCAACTGATTTCTACGAGAAATGTGTGATTGTTCATCATTTGGAATCTGGATGTACAAGCTTTCTATTGATAACTATGTTTGCTCAAAAGTTGTCACACATCTTATGAGTATAAAACAATATATATAAATCACGGGAAAATCATAACAAACTGTAATAATCCGTTGGACCAAATGAAGGAAACAAAAATTAATACTTAGGATTAAGGGGGAGAAACATTAAAAGCCTTTATTGACAATACTGGTTTGGTCTGCCTCTCCATGAAGAGGTTCAGAGCCTTACAATGGTGTTTTCACTTCCCATAGGATGGGTATGTTTTTCTCTTCTCTCTCTCTCTCCTCAATAGTGGTGAAGAAGCAGCCCTTTTCTAGGGCTCCCTCTCTTGGTATTTATAGCTGTGAGCTTCGTGAGCTGGCAATAAGTGGTCGTGACCATGTGGGATCTCGCCTTTATGGTGGCGGATAGGCCATGGCCTTGTCGATCGAACCAGATGCGGGCTGAACATCGTAAATTCTGAATAGTCGTGCCACTAATTAATCATGAATTAACTTAAAACGGGATTAGCCTCGTTAATTATCGTGGGGTCGAATTCTGACCCATACAGTTAGTCCCTCCGCTTATTGAGGTCGGGCCTTGGCCGAGCTCGATGAGTGGATTCCATTGGCTGTATTTCGAGAAACACGGATGGGGGTGTCGATTGTTGCTTCGGTCGAGGCCGAATTCTTTTTGGCGATGGTCCTTAGCCTTGTAGAGTATTAGTATCCTGTTACTGGGCTCTCAAGTCATCGTTCGATCGAGGTCGAACCCTCCTCCTGGGCGAAGGCACTTGACCTTTTAACTTACTTCGAATGAGGTCGAGCTGCATTGTGCTCCGATCCTTATGTTTGTTTTGGAAGCATACCCGTCGGCCGTGGCGGACGAGTCGTATGTTGTGCGGCCGAGGGGAATGGGGGCACGCTTGATACGTGCTCGGCGGTGGCCTTAGCCGTTTACACGTTGGAGATGGCCGTAGCCTTTCATACATTAGAGATGGCCGTGGGGAATGAGTATGCGCCGGGTACGTATTTGGTCATGTCCAGAATTTTGAAGGCGTACGGCACATTCCTTCAGCGTTCGCAGGCCGTAGCGATTATTCTGACGGCGGTACGTTGGCGGATGGCTGAGAAGCCGCTTTGCGGAGCTTGTCATGATGACGCTTGCTTCGGCAGAATCGAACCGTTTTACGGTTGGTCGTGCAGTTAATGATGGCTATTGGGTTTCGCGAAAGCCATTTATGTTGCCTATAAAGGTGGGTTGAGGCATTCATTTCTCATATCTTCATCGTTCATTTGAGAGAGATTCTGAGGAAACTTTTTCATTCCGCTAATTCATCTTCTCCTTTCTTTCCTTTGATTGTGATAACCTTTGTCTTTAGTAGATCAACAATGGCAGGCAGTTCTTCCCACGATGCTCTTCCGATAGATTTTTCGGTAGTTGAAGGGCCACCTCCGGCAATGGGAGGTGCAGAACAGATAGAGACTGGAGAAGTTCCGTCGGTTGACGAGGTAGTTCCTCGGCCCGGAGGTCTGGCGATTGATTTCACTATCGACGGTGGAGAGGAACCGGTGGATGAAGCCCCATTAATGGGGGAGATTGGGATGGCCCGATTACGGGAACAGGGGGTCATTCCAACCCATGCAGACATCGTTCTCGCTAGAAGCGAGGAGAGGGTCCATACCGACCGCAGGGGAT